TAGTATACGCAAACAGCGGGTGCCCATAAACAGCCCCAGAGTTTAGACCGAATTCTAACCAGTGGAGAGTTTGTTTTTAACAAGAAAATGTGTAAAGAAACACGGGAAAGAGGAGAGACTCGTAGGTATATTTTTAAATGCTAAAGAAGATGAATTTTGAGAAATAAAGGTAGAACCGGAAAAACATATAGATTAAGGCTCTCCTTGGCTTTTCCCAAATTCTGTCCTTAATGTGTTTTATCCTACTACAAGCAGGTTACTCATCCCTACATAGTTTCCAAGAAACTATGATTTAAATTCATGCTGCTTGTACAGGAAATACATGACACACATCCGAGAGCTCTTTTTATTACATCAAGCATAAGAGGTCCTTCTGTGGTGTTGCCTTCTCTTATGAGGACACGAACTGTATGATGGGAGGTCCAAAAACATGTTGATGCACGATTGTAAGACCAGGCATTCTGCTGCTTTCCTCGGGAATATCCCATGCATCCTCTACATCATCAAGACCCCAAAACATAAGTGAAACTTTGGACCCTTTTTCAATACAAGCGACAAGTCAGTTGCTCATTCCCCCCACTCTCTGCCCACTGTAACACTCACTTTGGATCTGCTCATTTTATTTTTGTCGAAGAAAATGAAATAAACAAATCTAAGTGTTCAATCCAGGGAACACTCTGCTTACCCAGCAAAAGTCACCCAGGCAGTAGTGATTGCATTTGGATGCTAAGAATGGGATTGGCAACGTGACTGGAGGAACGTGGGATCCCAGCACAGCCTGTCTGTTGCCGGGTGATGAGGAACAGGCACTTGAGATCACACTTAGAATTACTGACTGATGCTTTCTCTGTCATGAGTCGACATATTTAGTCTACAAATTTTTCTAATAAAGATAACAAACACATACTTTTAAAAATTTTCTGGCACAGGTTGGGAATAAAAGTTGATTGTGTTTTACCTGTTTTTTTTTCTTTTTTTAAAAAAGATAATCATGTATCCTGAATGTGTGTGTGTGTGTGTTGTGTGTCTTTATATTTCTTTATCATGTGAATACCAAAATTAGGCTATTTTTTTTCAAGTAAAATCATTGCTTTCAACATCATTCTAGGTGACAGGCAGTGAACTTGTAGTTCAGAATTAACACTACTAAATAATACAACTTATTATGCACAAAACAACTCACACCAAATAGTTGTTAGATCTATATTGCATTTAGTGTAACAAAAAGTAATATTTCTTTATAGGCCACAGCATCATAAGTCATGCAAGTTCAAAGGAGTTGTTAGCCACCAAAATATCCACCCTACAAAATCCAGGCATCACTGAAATCATACTATTTGCTTGGATAAAACTTCTTTTAAAAGTCTAGATATGTGTGCATGTATATGTTTTCAAAAGGATGAAGTATCTATTAGGTGAGCGTGGATGAGAAAAGACATTTCCTTCTTAGCCAGATTATACCAAACTTTGATCTGAATTTCTCACCATACCATATCTAGCACCCTCTGACTTTGTTTTAAAGATACATCTAACACACAAATCCAGTAAATTCCTCCCTAATCCTAACCATACACACACACACACACACACACACACACAGAGAGAGAGAGAGAGAGAGAGAGAGAGAGCTTTCAAACAATCTACCTAAGATTATTTTGCTCCTACTTGAGAAAAGCTCCTCAGCCTAGCTTTACCCCCATCATTAACTTCTTCTGTGTCCCAAGGAGCTAATTATCTTCTTTGCATTTTCACTGCCCCCCTTTGACCACTCCTTGGTGGCACCTGAGCTTCACCGGTGCCCCTTCCCAACTCTTCACAGTGAGAACACATGCATCCGAACCTATGGTTCAGCTCTTCCCTGTTCTGAATCACAAGTAATAATATTAATATTCTCTTCCCAAGCACACTGCAAGCGTACTGAGAGCAAGCCTTCTGGTCCTATCATGACAGACAGATGTAAGTTACCAAGACTCACAGTGTTTCTGTATTTGTAGATAAATGTATTGTTGAGCCACAAAATTTGAAAACCCTCTCTCTAGGTCTTTTGCTTAATGTTGCTTACAAAAGTGTTCAATAGTACATCTTTCATCCGATGGTTTGGTTTTTATATAAACTAATTAAAGCAGTTCCTTCGGAGAACTGGCATACCATTCATTAGCCAGATGAGAAGGCTGGCTCAGTATTGGCACTTTAGAGAACCTTGACCCTCACTCTACAGCAGAATCTCTCATGCCCAACACACTTAACTTGCAGAGCCTGTGCAAACAGAATTGATTCAGTATCCAGAGTTTCTAATACAGTAGATCAGGGGATAAGCCTGAGAATCTGCATCTGGCAAGTCCAAATGGTGGTTGATGCTGTGGCTGCACTCTTTGAGGACCAGAGTTGTGTGGGTAGTAAGTTTAATTATTAATGATTAATTATTATTCATTTAATTATTTGATTTAATTAAATTCATTAAGATTTTAATTATTAGATTAATTATTATTATTCTTTTCAAGTCACAAGGAGAATCATTTTCCTACCTTAAAGCCCATAGAAAATTTGATTCAAATGATACTGAGATTTATAATAATAACTTATAAATAATATCTCAGTACCTTCACCGTCCCTGAGATTTATTTTCACCTTCGCCTGATAAATGTATAGGCCTTACTACAATCCGCATTTATAACACTGTGAGACATATTTTGAGAATTTCACACACGAACACTGTATTTATATAATGTCTACCCTGTACTTTCCTCTTCCTTTCCCTACCAAGTACTTATCAACTATCCAAACATAAAAATCTTTGAAGTAAACTGAGTTGACTAAGAAGAGAAAAGAAAGCTTGCAACAAAATCAGCTTCCTCTTCATCATCTACTCAATAATATAAATTGACTTACAAATGTAAGTGATTAAACCCAAAGCATTTGCTCGGTAGCATATGAACGTTTGACACAGTGCAGATGCGATTTTATTCCCAACAAATTGTAGCCCGCTTATCTGGTGAAATAACTGGTTTTTAACATAAAAATTGTGAATTATGTTCTAAGAAGATTTTATTCCCTTAAAATGTGCTTATTTAGTAGTTACGGGTGCCAGGTGTGCATACGTTTCAGGCATACCAGTTGCTCAAAGTAACTTTTACAGGCCAGGACTAAATCCAAACATCTCTTTCAAGGCTCATAAAGAAGACAGTGGTGGTCCATGACATTCCTTGAAGCGGTGCCCTTATACCACTTCAAGCCTAAAATGTGGCTCATGTCTGAATCCTAGTCCTTGGAAGGCCGGAGGCAGGCAGATATTGAGCTTAAGATCAGCCTGGGCTACATGACAAGACCTTGTCAAAACGATCACTTCAATAAACAACCATAGTAACACACAATAACTTCTCGTGGCTGCTTCTCTTTGTTTTCCGTAATGCCTACTGTGGACATGAGGCCATTGTAGCTCAGTGAGAGCAATTCACAATTGGATCAAGGTATAGTGACTGACAGACACTAGAGAACTGGAGAAGCCACTGGAGAGAAATGCTTCTGCTACCTACTGCTCTACAGATGGTGTTTGTTGAGACAAAAATCTATGGCAAGAATCAAGTAGTTAGAAATCAGCATAAGACACCCAAGGAGACTAAACAGATAGGGAATGCTGTTTCTGGCACTGCCATCGTCGATGGGGACTGCATGTTTGTCGGGGGTATTAGGGAAAGTTGTAGTGTGGAATGAGAAAAGAAATGCTTCCCCCTGAATTTGTCACTACTTTGCAGTTGTGCAAATAACCTGGCCTTGTTTGCAATCACTGATGTCCTTTGGGCATCAATTAGACGTGTGCTCATCTGAAGAGCTGTTCAGTTTCAGGCCTGCTTGGGCAGCCACCGCTGACTTTAACACTGAGTCCAAGTTCCGTCCTCCTAGAAGTGTTTCTGCTGTACAAACCCTGAGGACAGCAAGGTGACAAAGGCATCTTGCAATGACTGTTCAAGCCACTTCCGAATACCTTCCCTTCAGTCCTCTCAAAGTCAGATGTCCCACAAAGCAATGGAGCCTTCAGCAAGTCAGGCTTGCCGTTATCATGAGTGCCAGCAAGCCCTCTTATGGCACCCGAATAAAAGGCTCAGATGCCCCAAGTGATCAGTGTCTCAAGTGTCCCTTTCCTCTGGGACACTGACTGCAATTTGTCTGATGTCTGATTCTCTCTCTGATTTCCAGTCTCTTCTTAACAGTTGTTATTTCTTGTTGGAATAATTAAGAAACAAGAATTTCTTAATTTTTTTATTTGAGAAATTTGAAAGTGAATTTTAGTTTGAGAGATGGGCCATATGCCTTTCGTATTCTAGATTTAAAAATAAATAAACTTACTGCTCAGAAAAGACCAAAGAATAGACGGTCATCTTTTCAAACCATAGTCTTCCAAATGCTGCTTTAGCCGAATACAAAGCATGCACACGCACAACACACGCCTACCTACATGTGGAAAGTAGGGGGTCCTAGTTAGGTCTTCTGTTGCTGTGAAGAAAGACCATGACCATGGCATCTCTTACAAAGGAAAACATTTAACTGGATGGCTCGCTTATACTTCAGAGGTTCAGTCAATTATTGTCATGGTAGGATATGATGCCATGCAGGCAGATATGGTGCTGGAAAAGTTCAGAATTTCCTATATCTCAGCTTGCAGGCAACAAGTGTTTATGACACTGGGTGGTATCCTAAGCATAGGAAACCTCAAAGCATGTCCCCACGGTGACACAGTTCAACAAAGCCACACCTCCTAATAGTGCCACTCCCTATGATCTTATGGGGGTCAAATTACATTCAAACCAATACATAGGTATTGACTTAAATGTTTGTGGCTTTTGTAAGCAAGGCTTTTGTTTTGTTTCATGCTGCTAGGTAGCAAACTTGTAACCTAGAACTTAAGGGGCAAATGTTACAACACTGGCTACATTCCTGCCTTTGAATTGATATAAGACATGAGATAGACGAGTATATTGAAAAAAATGAAACAAAACTTTCAGTTTATACATGACATTAGACAAGGTTTTTATTCAAAGAAATTGAACCAAAAGTTAACTTCTAGGCCAAGTATGGTGACACATGCCTTTAATCCCAGCACTTGGGAGGCAGAGACAGAAGGATCTCTGTTCATTGAGGGCAGCTTGGTCTGCATAGCAAGTTCCAGAACAGCCATGACTACATAGAAGGGATCCTGTTGTAAAAAGGAATAAAAATAAGCAAACAATAAAATAAAAAATTAACTTCTAAGATGACATATCAAATTGTTGCTACACATATTGAGTTGTAAAAGCCTCAAAGCAGAATAATCGGGTATTTACTATTAAGCGTTATTTTTATGTAGAGCTGTTTCCTCTTCAACATTTGAAACAGAATCTCATTAACTCAAAATTCTGTTTTGGTAGTATAAATTTCCAAAAATATGAAACTTGACCCATTCTTTTTACATTTTACATAAAAAACAAAACATAAGTTTAAAGCAATGGTTCTCAGCCTTCCTAAGGCTACCATCCTGCAATGCAGCTCTTAACGTTATGGTGACACCCTAACCATAAAATTATTTTCGTTGCTTCTTCATAACTGTAATTTTGTTACTTTTATTAATCATAATGTAAATGTCTGATATCAGGATAGCTGATATGTGACCCCTGTGGATGTCATGACCCACAAGTTGAGAACCACTGGTTTAAAGACAAACACTCTATAATTTATTACTGGTTGTGCCATTTTTCTCACAGTTGGGGCAAAAGGGTTAAATTCTTTTTGCCTCAGTTTCCCCCTCAAATTACAAGGGTTCTAATGGTGCCTACTTCACAGACAAATCAGTACAAAATAATATTGATTCATGCCAGGAGACTGGGAGGATGCGGGATACACTCAAAGCCATCACGTCATCAGGAACTGTCAGCTCTTGGTAATATATTTTGTACAACTATTTCTTTAACCCAATAATCATCTCGTTTAGCCTAGATTGTTTAGTATGTCTTAAACTGCAATACTTAAATCATATAAAATATTTTTTAAAATAACTACTATGAGAATTGGGTCGAAAACTAGCTTTTGCCAGCATGTCAAAATAAAGTTCTGATCTTTAAAGATGGGCAGAGCCAGATCTATTTGTTCCAACAAAGAAAGGAGAGGTGAATGAAATTTGCCAATAGCCTAGGTTGCAATCGCAAAATGTCCTTGAATTGGCTTCTGACCCCTCATAAAATGTGTCTGGATGGTGAAGGAATACAAAATAAGAAGTATGCTTCCCATCACTGTCACTGATGTATGGTTTTTACACATTCATCCAAACCAATAGTATTGCTGCCCCCTTTTCTCTCCACTCCAAAGGGTTGGGGGGGGGGGGGTTACCACCATGGATAGAAAATTGCTTCTGGCATTAATCCTCCAAGCTCAGATCAAGCAAGTGGCTATCAGTAATCTCCTTTGGATTAGCCACCATCATTCATTTTAGTGCCAGAATGAAAATTCATGGGGAAACAAGACTCTCGGGCCACTTTCAAAGAAACTCACCGAAGACCTAAAAGAATGGAAACCTCGGCATGCTGAAATCCCGATTTCATCCAACTTGATTAGAAAGTAGAGACAAGGCCTCTTAAGTTTAGAGCATGCTATTCCCAGAGGAGTCTTGCCAGGAGGACTTCTGAGTTATCGAACTCACAATTTCCCCCCAATTCCTTCTTCTTTCAGTTTGCTTCTTGTGGTTAACTCCATTACTAACTTATAGCGATAAACACCTGGAGTCTATCAAAAACAAAGAGAGGCTTATTCACCCTGAGCAGAAACAAACTACATAATATAAGACGTGAGCAGGAATATGTTTTTTATGATGTGCCAGCATAAGGGGGATCAAAGGCTAAAGCCAAATAAATAGCAACTGGGCACCAGCGGAGGAAACATTGTTAGACTTGAAAATAATCAAAAACAAACCCAACAAGCACTAACTCTCTCCACGTTCAGCAGTCCATTTTCCCTCTTTTGATACAGGACTTAAAGCTATCAAGAGTTTTCAGAGCTAATCAATGGAATTAAAGAAGAGTCCCACCTTTCACTGAGGGCTGTAACATTAACCAAAGGGATTGGTCTGGATAGATCAGCCCGTTCCCTTCCCCCACTCCCATGTAGCCTCTCCATGCCAACTCACTCCCCCCTCCCCTTCCTCTAAGGGCTTATTATTGAATTTACCTTGGCCACGTTATGGAATTTGCAGGCTGACATTAACCCATTTATTGCGCCGACTCCCCCCTTATCTAAAACATCTCTAGGCAAACTCAAACAATCTGTCTGCCATCCACTGATTGGCAGGGCAAATTTTTCCAGGTGGTAAAACCAGCTCCCCTTAAATGACTTGCCAACCTCATTTCTGCCTGGCAGAATGATTGAAAGAAGACGGGAGCCACCACTCTTTGCTGCCATGCTTGCTATCTGCAATGTATTAACATAAATAATTTTGAAAGATTAGCAGTACGGTGTTGGGGGGTGGGAGAGGAGGCTGAAGGGTGGGGAGCCCAGAGCCAAGAGGAGGCAGATATGAGAGCTGAGAATTGACAGGCTCAACCCTGAGGGCAGAGCACCCCATCTGTATTTGATTTGTCAGGGATTTACATTAGTGAAACTTTAACTCCGCAGATGATACGTAAGATTGCACTCGCAGAGCGAGCTTATGCAAATACAGCTTCAACTCCCTGGTATGTGGCCCAGACAGTGAATTTGGCAGATTTCATTGAGTCTGGTGGCTGGATCTAATAAATTCATTTACATGAAGGATTAGGACATCTGGAAAAGTAGCTTGGTGGTTTATTGAAACATAAATAACATTAATTGAAAGGTTACAGGTATGCAAAACACTTCATGCAGGCGACACAAAATGCTATAAAGCCGCTTCGCTACTCAAATAAAGCCAAAGAGGAAAAAAAAAAAAAAAACTCTTGCTAACATAAACAGAAAAGGCAATTTCCAGGATCCAATTTAAATGTCACTTTAGATAGTGATGGCTAGAGCGAGAGAGGCAACCCATTTCTTCCTGTCTTCATAGCGGGAGCCGTTTGCAGATCTGAGCTCCGCTGCCCTCTCCGAACACATTTCAACTACTAATCCACAGCAGCAAGGTAGCAATATAATCAAATTTATTTCCAGTTAGAAATCCCCAAACTGTCATGCCATTTTGCAGACAGAAAAGCATGGTTGAGAGCTCAGGCTGGTTCTTCCATGAGTTCATTTTACTGCTGCAGTGCATACTTGTGGACAGCCAGTTAATATCTGAGAGAGTTGTTTACCCTCAGCAGAACAACAAATTACTCGGAGGAAAATGAGCAAAGATTGATATCATATGATTTTAAAACGGAGAGAAAAGCTCAAGTGGTATCCAGTCATTTGAGTACCTTAAGATGAATGTATGACTTGGTCACCCATTCAAATTCTCCTTCATCTTTTATCCCCAAATGAAGAGATGACTTAGTTGTTTAATCACCTCGAATGCCTCCTGTCCAAAGCAATAACAAGCCCTTCCTTTTCAAAGGGCTGTTTTCATTTGAAGTCATTATCCAGAGGCTGACTTGGAGATGCATGCAAATGAGGAAGCGGAAGTCTGGCGTTCTCTCAGGTATGGAGACTCCTGGGAGCCCAGTCCAGAAACTGTAGTTGACACAGTCAAGTAAAGAATTGTTTGATCAAAACCGAAAGAGATTCCTTGGTCAAACTTAAAATATACACGTACACACACACACACACACACACACACACACACACACACACACACTGAACTGTAGGATTTGATGCAGGGATTGATATACTTCAGAGAAAAAACTTACAAGTTTTTCAAATACCGCAGTATATCTTGCTTTTCATAATAAGAAATTAGACAAAATGGTTTTTGCTTCTAAAGGATGCTAATGGAATCAGAAAATGGAATGAGATTTAATGCATTTCAGTTCTTGCCATCAGCAAAAGTAATTCATAGAATATATAAAATTTAAAAACTGTCGTTGGTCCAGTTTCTACCAGCAGTTACAGATAACTGGTAGCAGAAATTGGTCGAGTAAAATGTAGTCAGAGTAAACTTTTCTTCCTCGATATAAATTTTTTTAATGGGATGCTAAAAAGACAAAGACTTTTTGAAAATAGTCAAATGATAATGGGCATATCACAAAAAGATCAAGTCATAATTATTAATTCCTATGGCTCTCTGAAGAATAGGGAAATTAATATTTCCAAGCTTTTACACGAAAAGCCATTTGACCACCCAGTAATAAGCTATGAAGTGCTTATCAGAGAATAAATGGCATATATTGGCTTAATCTAAGAGGTTCATCCAATACGCTGCCTGATAAAACAACTTTGCTGAAACTAAAAAACAAACCAAAAGAAAACAAAATATTTTAGCCGTGAGAGGCTCCAGCTTCCTGACAGAAAGTGATGCAGTGGCTCTATCAGAACACCCAGCCTCAGTGGCCAAAGTGGCTTATAGTATAGTCCAAGTGGGCTGAAAACAATCTGTCTACCCAATTAAATCTTTAGGATTATTTTAAAATAGTATCTATCAGGAACTGGAAAGATTGTTTAACAGGGAAGAGCACTGGGTGCTCTTCCAGAGGACCAAGGTTCAATTTCCAGCACCCACATGGCAGCTCACCACTGTCCGTAACTCCAGTTCCAGAAGATCTGACACTCTTACCCAGACAAACGTACAGGCAAAACACCAATGTGTGTAAAATAAATAAATAGATAGCTAAAGGAATAAATAAATAGATAGATCTTTAGAAAATTGTTATCTATCAAATAGAAAGTTGCTTTTCTTAGACACTTGCAGAAAGAGTAAAATTCAGTCTTGCACACCAAATTCACTTGCTTATGTGTGTGTATGTACATGTTTCTGACTACTGGAATCCAGAACAGATATGAACATCTCACTGATTTTCATGAAATCTTCTGCCTACTGAGAGTGTCTTAGCCACACGGACTTTGTGGAAGAAAAGCTGCAGGCTATAAAAGACAATATATGGAGCTCACAGAGGTCAAACTCCAAGTTTATTTCCTATGGCAAATCAGCTACAGTGTTTTTTTAAAGAGTAATATCTTTTTATTGTTTTTTTTTTGAGCTATACATTTTTCTCCACCTCCTCCTTTCCTCTCCATTCCCTTCTACCCTCTCTAGTGATACCCAAGTTCCAAATTTACTCAGGAGATTTTGTCTTTAAAGATTGATATATTTACATTATGTGTATGTGGGTGTTTGTGTGGTGGTTATGTGCATGTGAGTATAGATGCCCATGGAACCCTGAAGATCCCCCTGGAGCTGTAGTTACAGGCAGTTGTGAGCCATCTGATGTGGGTACTGGAATATAAGCCCCTAGTCCTCTGAAAGAGCTGTCTCTCCGTGCTTCACCACCGAGCCATCTTACCGACCCTCGGCTACAGTCTTTTAAAATTTTGCCCGTGACAAACAAGAATATTTAATTTATTGTCATAATTCAGATTACAGAAAAGCTGTCAAGAACCCTGACTAATCTCGCATGTTTCCATGAATCTAACATAATACAGCTGAACAAGAACAAACTACAGAGTGAGTTGGCAAAGCCAAAGCCGAAACGTTGGCTGTTAGTTAACACGATTCTACTTGACCACTTCACTGGTACTAGTACCAGTTCTTACCTTGGGCACTGTGCATCACTTTCCCTTGCTCCAAAGTAAGCAATCATCAGTGCTGACCTGACTACATCAAGAACTGTGTGGCTCCCTAAGCACATCACACATGCAGCACCGGTCTGGCACATGTGGAATATGGCTGCCCCTGCTGTCACTGCTGCCCCTGCTGCCACTGCTGCCACTGCTGCAGCTGCTGCCACTGCTGCAGCTGCTGCCCCTGCTGCCACGGGTGCCACTGTTGCAGCCTGAGAGCTCAGTGGATTACAGCTCTGGAAGGATATAGTTGGTTGTTTTCCTTATTTCTACAAGCAGCTGGGAATATGACAACAGACTGCAAAGAATAATTCATCAAAGAAAATTCAATTCCCAAACAAGAAGAAAATATAAGCTCATGGCCACATAAAAAAAAGACCAAAAAAAAAGGAAGGAAGAAAGGAAGAGAGAGAGAGAGAAAGAAAGAGAGGAAGGGAGGGAG